AATTGTTGCATCCTTTTAACACGAAAAAAATCTGTGCAAATGAATTTTAAAACTGCTCATCCACATGTTCAAGTCCCGCGAATGTCATTCATGTCTTTATTTTTATCCCTTTGTTTGAATTTCTGACTCCGTATTTTCTACAACATGCAACTGGTTCACTGCCATTTGTTCAGTAATTTTTTCTTGTTGATTAAATATTTTTCTTTAATAAATTAAATCTGCTTGCTTAATTTCCAGATGGGACGAACATGAAGAGAGAGGCGCGAAGAAGTCTCAATGTCAATGAAGAATACTTAGGCGCATTAAGGACAAAATCCTATGTTGATTTCTTCCTGAAAGCTCAGCTACTTGTAAATAATAATCAGCCATCATCTCCCTCTCAATATACATTCTCAGAAATCCTACTTGAGCCAGGTCAAGAAACCATAACATCAATTCTTGAATCAACTAATATTTTTCCAGGGAAATATAATCTCAAATCCCTTCTCTCCAATTACTTCAATATCAGTGCACAAGCCTCAAAATTCTGTAGCCACCTTCTCAAATCCATCAACCAAGTCCAATCTGACTATACTTTTGTTGAACAAGTCTTCGAATCCATCGATGATTGCTCCAGTTCCACAGATCAACACTTTGGTTACCTTGTATTAGAGCTTCGATCTTTTATTATCCACAACAACCCATTTTCTGACCTCAAGAAACAGGATTTCACACGAATCAACGATGAATATTCGTCGATACTTCAACATTTGAAATCAAAGAGGAAAAAAGTGGCTAGAAAGATAAAATTGATCAAAGGTGTAAATAAGGCTTCAGGGGTATGTGTAACAGCAGCCTGTGGACTAGTTGCTGTTGCAGCTATGGTCCTAGCAGCACACACAGTAGCTGCAATAATTATGGGACCAGCAATTTTAAGCTTACCTTTAAATCCAATCAAGAAAAAGATCACGAATCTTCGATTCTTGAAATGTGGATTTCTCAGGAAAATTGGAGCACAACTTGATGTAGCAGCAAAGGGTACATATATTTTAAACAGGGATTTTGATACAATGAGTAGACTCGTGGATCGATTACATGATGAGATTGAACATAACAAGGCAATGATACAGTTGTGTTTGGATAGAAGGGAAGATAGTATTTCATTGCAAGTGTTGAAGGAGTTGAAGAAGAGTAATGTTGGATTCAGGAAACAAGTAGAAGAGCTTGAAGAACATGTTTATTTGTGTCTTTTAACTATTAATAGAGCTAGAGCTTTGGTGATTAAGGAAATTGCTATATCTTGTGGGAGCAAAATTAATGGTAATAGCCAAGATAACAAGACTTATGTATAGTATATTCTTTGATTTGTTATGGGAAGCCTCTATGAATATATGTATGGACATGGGCGGAGTTAGAAATCCGACTACAGGTTTTGGCTAAACCCAGTAACTTTTGTTTAAACATTATTTATATTAAGTAATTCATTAAATATAGATATATATTAAGTTTAGAACCTAGTTATTAGTACTTGAACTTGTTGTTCTAGAATCCCAAACACATAAAGTCAAAATTTTGGCTCCGCCTTTGTGTATATGAATTACAATTGAGATTACTTGGTGTTCTTAGATTGTAATACATTTGAGCTTGAGTGTGGTTAATCTAATGTAGAGTGTAATTTCAAGAATTTCACTAAATTTTAATTTTATTACATGAAAAGTCATTAATTTATTTTTTGTAACAAAAACATCACTCAATTTTACCTAAGTATCAGGAAAAGTCAATAATTTTTTTTTTTTTTGGCAACAAAATATTCACTCAACTTTGCATAAGTATCACAAAAAAGTTACTAAACAGTTTTTTTTGTAACCAATGAGTCATTTAATTTTACCTAAATACCATATAAAATGTCTCTTTTATTTTTTCCTATTGACTTTATGTGATACATAGGGCATCTCCAACCCTTGCATCAATTTTTTACGCCAAAATGGTGCAAATTAACTCCAACCCATTACACTATTTTTTTACACCAAAAAAGAATATTCCTTTTATATTCTTCCCTCCTTCTATATTATATTATTTTCTTTCAGATTTGCAAAATATTATGTTATTTATTAACAACATATCATATTTAAGATTTGCACTTTTCATTTTTTTGATGGTTATATATATACAATTATAACTTATAATAAAATTAACTTATAATTTTATATAAAAATAAAATATACGAAAATTAATTAATAAAAATTATATACCAAAATTAAAATATAAAATTAATATTATAAAGATATTACATAAAAAGTATAAGTAATTACAAAATTTATAATATATTAAATTAAAAGTGTTATACAATAAAAGATAATAATAAAATATTGATGAATAGTAATTGTGTTGATGAATAGTGTTACACCAAATTTTGTATAACACTATTCACACACCAAAATGGTGTAAGAAATGGTGTTGGGTTGAAGCACTAAAACACCAAATATTATACCAAAATAGCATTTTGCGTCAAAAATAGCGTTAGGTTGGAGATGGTCTTAGGCAAATTGAGTGACTTATTTATTATAAAAATAATTTGGTGACTTTTATGATTACTCTAATAAAGCTAAGTGGTCTTTTCGTTAGAAAAAAAATTGCTAACTTTAGAGCAATAAAATGAATCTTGAATGACCATACCCCAATTTTCGTCCTGTTGCCTTTTCTTAGTCAAACTAAACAAGGATATAAAATAGTTTATTATTTCAAAAACAAAAGCTTTTATAAGGTTCACTAGCAAAGCCCATGTTTAGGAAATCAGTAAATCCGAATCCAAAACAAACTAGGAATACAACTGATTACCTGCAAAAGAATCACATATAAAGTGAATAATTTCCTAACTGAACTAGGACGTATAACAGGCCATCTCTATATATAGTTCATTGCCTCCCTCGAATTTATTTGGTTGTTTACTTTTCTACCGTTCATATTCTTTTCAAGAATTAACTCAAAGAACATAGTCCCCTGCTCTTGGTAAAAATGGTACGGTATAGTTAATTTTCGGACTGGTCATTCAAAATAGTCAGCGTTTACGAAGTCAATGAAAAATAGCCACTATTTTGCTGCAACAGAGAACGGTCCAGCATAATATACTGGAGTTCGGTGCACCTGTGTATGAACTCCAGCATATTATGCTGGACCGGTATACTTTGCTGACTCCAGTATAATATACTGGAGACTGGAGCACCGGTGCTCCAAACTCCAGTATATTATACTGGACAATTATACTTGCTGAAACTCCAGTATATTATGCTGGAGTTCTAGTGTACTTATGCTGGAACTCCATCATATTATGCTGGAATTCAAGCATACTTATGCTGGAACTCCAGTATAATATACTGGCGTATTTTTCGTGTTTTGAACAGTGTTTTCGCTCAGTTTTATCTTTACAATGAAAAGTGACTAAATTTCGATTACTTTTGAAACTGAGCTATTTTTGAACGATCAGTTGTAAATCTGGCTATTTTTTAATTTCTCCCCTGCTTTTGTTAGATCAAAGAAACCATGAGTAATCCCCATACTCATCGCTCTTACGCACAACTAGCCCATCATAATTTCCTACATCATATATTCTTCTTCTCCCAATTATAATGGTAATCTTCAACGTTCGAGACAAGTCCATCCGCGTAATATTCGAATTATAAGGTGCCCCTATGATCATTCTCCTAGAGTACGACGACATTACGCATCAGTTCATCATCCCCTAGGTTATGAATCGCACGTACGTTTCAAGAAATTATGTTGTGCATATTCGATGATGATGAATTCATGGCTCAACAAAACCTGCATCAAGAGTTCAGAGCTTTTCCGCACAACTATCAACAACCAATGGCGTCTACCGTTGGTGTTCACAGTGAATATACCAATGGAATTAACTTGACTGATCGTGAGTCAGTTGATATGGTCTTACGAGCAGATTTTTACAATCTGCGCGGCGGCCGATACTCTCAAGACAGGAGCTATCAACCCACGGCGTCTACTGGTGTTCACAATGAGTGTGCGAATGGAATAAGCATAACTAACCTGAGCGATCTTGATTCAATGAATAGGGTCTTAAGGCCAAGGCCAGATTTAGTAGACAATGTTCATGGCAGACGATATTCGCAAGCCACGAGCTATCAACCCCTGGCGTCTACTGGTGTTCACAGTGAGCATACGAAAGGAATTATCATAGTAACTAATTTGAGTGGAGAATAAGATGCCATAATTGATTCTCATGATCTTTAAATATTGCACAAGACAACTATGCAAGGGTTTAAATGGAAACCACTCTCTAATAATTAATGTGTTGTTCCTACATAGGATGTGGTAGGCAAGCAAACTAATATATATATATATATTATATATATATCTGTAGAAACTTATTGCTTTCATTCATGTTTAATAAAAATCAACTCAAGCGGCATGTTTTGTCCATCCTCATCAGATTGATATATTATATTGCTCGAATGTTTATTCCTTGATAATTTTATGGAGGTATGTAACCGAAAAAAGCTAAGGCAAGCAAAGTGAATGATGCAGTAATCATGTCACTGGATTGGGGATTTGTTGAAAGAATCACCTACAAGTTTGGAGATGGTAACAAGATGTAGCCTTCAGCATGAAAACTCTTAAAGAATTCCGATTGAAGGAAAAATATCGTTGCTTTTTGGATATACATACCAGAATACCACCTTAGTGCTGGTTTATATCAATAAAACCTTCTACTTACTGTTCAAAAAAAAAGCTTCATTTTGTGCTAATATTATGAAGGAGTCTCTTCTCAGAAGGCGCAGGGAAAGTATGCCAGCTATTCATTAAAATGTCAGACATTTGTGTGAAGTTTGGAATTGCTAGGCTTGCTTCCTTCCTAATTGTCTATGGCTAGACTTCACATATGGATGTAAAGCTTGATACTACAGGCAAAATTAGTAACTTCAGACGCGAAAATGTATGAAGTTGTTCTCAAAGTAGGTAAACTTACAAAAATTTATAAACTTCGGATATAACCTAAATGGGGATCCAAAAAAAGTTTTGAAAGTAAAATGTGTATATACAATGTTCTTTTTTCTTTAAAATCAGGTAATTGTATTATACAATCTTCTTTGTCCTAAGTCCTAACCTTTTCTTTTTTCAGGATTTCTCATGAAATGAATCGCAAAGACAACAAGAGATAATATTACAGCTGAGCCTGCAATTACAGGTACAAACATCTTGCTCCTTCTCTGAGGCAGCTTCTCCTCATCCTCTTCTCCAGTTTTCTCTTCTTCTTGAATTCCATTTGCTTTTTCACAAACTTTGTCGTCTTTAAGCTGATCTTTCAAACTCCTTGATTCAACTTTATCATCACCTATTTGATCACTATGAGTTTCCCTTGTTTCTTCAACCATATCATCGATCTTCTGGCTCTTCTGTTCTACTTTTGGCATTTCGTTTTCCATTCGAGGAACTTCATCTTTAGCACCATGTTTTTTGACATCTTCCTTAACTGATGGAAAACCTGGAAATTGCATCTCTCTTTCTTGACTCACTTGTTCTGCCAAAGCCTTTTCCTCCAATGGTTTTTGTGGCATTTCTTTAACAAACTCTGGCTGCTTCACTTCCTGAATTCCAATTCCAAGGATTCCCTTCACTCTCTTTGGCATTGTAATAGTCAGAACGGATTCTTCCTCGTTATAATTAGTCATAATTTGATCCAAGATCACCCCATTTGGAATCTTAAAAGCCTTTATAAATTTTCTAATTTCTACATCTTTCTTGATCACTGTCCACCCCACCATTACAGTCTCTTGGACCGGCTTCTCACATGTTATCACCATCATCTTCCTTTCCTCATTAATATCAATCTTTATGTTTCCTCGTTTATAACCTACACATAGTTTTTCCACAATCAAATAAAATAACCAATGCCTCCCATAAATAATATTAAGGCAAGAAACACTGAAGACATATTTATCTGACTGTATATGGTATTACAGAAGTCATGTTCCATGTAAAACGTTCTCTGTTTTCATGGTGTTTGGTTGGAGTAGAAAATATTTTCCGGAAAAAATATATACTAAAGACAGGTAATAATATTAGCAAATTGGATCGTGTTTTTAAGAAATTTTTTAGTACTAAAGATAAATAATAATGTAAGTATTAGATGGAGCAAGTAATAGGAAGGTTAAAAAATAAGGTTGTTGTAAAGAAAATGACTTCCGGTCATAAAGCGAGGAAGTCATTTTCTCCCTTATGATAGTAATCAAACACTAGGACATAACTTTCTCATAGAATATATTTCCAGAAAGTAACTTCCGTCATTCCAAACACACTAGAGCTAACCTTTCAAACGAGCTGTGAGGATGAACATAGTGTTTGTTTCTGCAGACTGGAAAAGAAAGCCAGCTCGATCTTTCTCAAATTGAAGGAATTCAGTGGAGGTGAAATCATCTGCAACTCTTGTTACATTGGATCCCAATTCCCAATCCATTTTTGGTGATTGTTGGAGAAAACTTGATTGATCAAGTAAAAATAACGATTTAAAGTCAAATACTAATAAAAAGCATGAGAGAAAAGCACATATGCTTTGCTTCATAACCAATTATACTTTCATGATGAGTTCAAGGTGGACGAAAGTTTGCTTACAAAGTTTTGTACAAGTTCGCCTTTAAACTGAGGATTTTTTCTTTGATTCCAAAGACATGAATACATCGTTAAATGTTGAAAATATTGGATTCTGATTTAAAATGACCAATAGTTTACCGGATTTATGCACCGACAATGTAAAGCATATTTACCCTATCACCTGTTGTTTATTCATTATAATGAAAACAAAAGGACACCTTTAATAAACCACACCAGCATGAGATCGAAATGTTGCTCAAGACAAAAATGTAAGAAAACCTTGTCTAACAAAATCCTATCAAATAAATGAGCAAGAAAAAGGAAAGTAAGAACATGATGGCAAATTGGTCATTACCTGAAGATGCCTTTCTTTGACTAGAATTGCTGCCGTTCCTACCATTAAGAAAACTTTTGATTCGGTCAACAAGAAAGCCACAGGTTTGACCAAGATCTTGAGACCATAACCACCTTTCAACTCACATGCTGAGAATTGTTTAATAAGTATTCCTGAAAGATCAGAAAACTTCAAGAAGAAAACAGCAACTTCTTCAGATAATCATTGGTCAAAAAACTTTTAATAAGTCATTAACAAAGTTCTGTTATTGACCCGAGAGACGGTCGATGACAAAGCTAGCACTCATGTCAGAAATAATAATAAGAATTCCAGAGATCAAGACCTTGGATATCAAAGGGTAATTTCTGAGTTAGGAGAAAATGAGAACTAAAAAAAGAAAGTGTAATCCCATGCAATAGGAGAAAACAGTTGTGACCAGTAAGCTGTGGAATGCAAAGAAAACAGACTTGCGGAATGAAAGATCAGAAACTATATGAAAATTAAGACAGCCCGGTGCACTAAGCTCCCGCTATGGGGTCCGGAGAAGGGCAAGACCACAAGAATCTATTGTACGCAGACTTACTCTGCATTTCCACAAGAAGCGGTTTCCACTGCTCGAACCGGTGACCTCCGGGTCACATGGCAGCAACTTTACCGGTTACGCCAAAGCTCCCTTGCGAGAAACCATGTGAAAACTATTTGGAGAAAACACCCAAAATACAACAGTTAACCATCACAATAAGGGAAACAAGAGAAGTTCTAATATAGCTTGGCACCATCATAAAATACTTAAAAGAAAAATGCCAAACGAGAAGAGAGATGAAGCAAAAATAAGAGATTCCTTATATGGATGGTTATTCATAGAATCATAGACAGCTAAACATCTTTTAAACACATTACGATGTGGATGGATAGTAACTTGGAAACTAATTTCCTTCTTGCTGATTAATTTCCTTTATTAGAAAGATAGAATGCAAGAGCTTCAATAAATGCATAATGCATTGATATGTATGTATATATATATATATATATATATATATATATATCACCAATTACAGCCAACATAAACAAAATAAGAAACTCAGTTACAGAGCTAAAAGAAAACTGAGTAACTTTAATACTATCCCAATGAACACTACAACATGGACCCAAGATCCAACTATTTTGTATTCTTTACATAATACATAGTGATAAATACATAAATTTACCTCTTTAAACTATTTTAGGACACTGCACCATTTCATCCTCCCTCTTCTTCTCCTCTTAAAAAGGGCAAACAAAAATAAAAGAAAAGAAACAAGGGGAAAATTGAGAGCATAATCTGCTCTTCCAACAATGGTTGCACACACGCACACACTCGACTACTACAACTCTAAATGGAACCTTGATTCAATTTTTTGCCTATGTAACTCATGAATCCTTCATCCAATAGAGCCGAGGCCCTCAGTCCTGCTTCGAACAATCCTATGAAACACTTGTCTTACCTGGCGCTCCAAAGGGTCCAATCTGTCTTTTAGGCCATAGTAGACTTGCCCAAGCTCTTGAACTCTTTGCTTCACTTCCCCTTCCTTTTCCTCTGAAAGGGGGAAGTGAATGGTATCAGTCAGTTCATTCATGTGGCGCGCACATTTCTCGATTTGATGAATCTCTTTCAACAATCCAGTAGCATTTCTACGCTCCCTCTTCCTCGACACCTCCAATATCCTCTCGTGGAGGGAGAGAAGTGGAGCACCCCAAATGAATTGCCTGGTGACATGAAAATGCGTCTGAAGGCCACGGTCTTGGCAAGGAATTGCAGCGACCAGCGCCCACATAACAAAGTAAAGCACATAGCTCATTGTAAAAACAGCTACAGCTAATCCATTGGTGGCAATAATTTCATTACTTTTGGGAGCAACTAAGTTTTGACCAATTGCTTGAAGCTGCTTAGCAGCAGACCAATTCCGGGATACACTCCACGACAATGATCGAAATTGGCCCAATGAATTATGATCCTTCTGAGCATTGTTTCGTCCAAACGACCTGTTTCTATGAGCAAAACTTGAATTAGACTCTTTTTCATCAAGCATGCCAATCGCCAAATCAATCAAGGCTTTCGTGGAACGTCGAATTTGGCCTTCCCCAATACTCCTCTGATTGTCCAACGCATAATAAACAATCTCCAGCTGCTTCTTCCACTGCCTAATCAGCTCAATCCCATCTCGTATCGCATTACACACATCCAATGCTTTCAAACTCCTTTCGAAATATTCTGTTATGTAACGGTCCATAGGGGATTTATTCAAGCACCCTTTATTCTTAAACACAATGGACCTGAACTGTTCTTGGCAAGAAAGGAACACATCCAAAAGTTTCCTAATCCAGGGAATCGAAAGAAGCTGATCAGAGTCAGCAGATGCCAAATCATTGAAACAATCAGCTACTTGCTTTTGAAAAGCTTCAAGCTCAAGCTCTTGGCTTGTTCCCTCATGAGCAGATTCCATGGAATGTACTTGATCACGATTGCGTATGCTCAAAATGGACCGTCCAAATGTTGTAAAAGATGCAGATGCCCCCTGATAATCTGTAGCTGGCATTTCTTGATTTTACATGAAACAATCAAATAGCAAGATTTTCCCAGCTGAAACCCCAAATTTACATACACAATTGGAACAATCTTAGACAAAGATCCAAACTTTCAAATGAAAATCCGTGAAAAACCCACAAAAACCTAAATATGATCAAAGAATTGATTCAAAATTCAAGTACCCCCAAAATAAGCTTTACCTTATACCTCTAAATTCTGAAGCCTCTCAAATCTTATGTTTCACTAAAATGAGAGGAAAAAGTAACGAGAGTTGAGAGGAATTCAGTAGACAAGGAAAGAGAAAAACATAAAGGGGATTTGAAAGACAAAGGTAAGGATGTTTTTTTGGAACCCTAAAAAAGGGGCTTATATTGTGGTCGATTTGGACCGCGTAATATTGGTCTGTTGGGAAAAAGAAAAAAAGAGAGAGAGAGAGAGAAAGGGTAGAGAGAGAAATTGGGCACTCTTGATTCTTGAAAAAGTAATCACTCTTATGGCAGACTTTTACAAAACTATAATTGAAATTAAAATATGGTGAATTAAGCTTTAAACAAGCTGTTCTACTCCCTTAGTTATATCGGTTGATTTTTTAAAATAATACTTAGCCCAAATTCAATATTTAACTTGTAGGAGTCGTTTGAATTGTGGGATAAGAGATGCAAAAAATTTAAGTTGAATTTTAATTTCGGGATTAATTATATCACCATTGTAATATAATTTTTATACCTCCTTCTATGCGGGATTACAATTTCGAAATTACTAATCTTGAGATTAAGCTAGCGTTTGGCGATTCCCAAATTTATTTTGAAAAATCTGATTTGGGTGAAATTTGGTTTGAAGATAAAAGGAATTTTTACCTTCTATAACAAAGGTTAACACCTTATTTATTTTAAATAAATATTATTTAAAAAAATTATATTCTATAGATATTTTTTAATGTTTATAGCAAAATATCTAATTTTGGTTACCTCCGACCCCTAAGCCACTAAATACGCTATTTAGTTACACTATTTTCTTTTTCTTTCTACTTTTGATACATATCATTCTCTTACTCCATTCCATGGAAACACGATGCTCAATTTCAAAATTCCTCTCACCATAAATATCCAGTGAAACTCCTTGCCACCGCAGCATTTGATAATACATAGTCAATTATTAGATTCGCACCAGTCAAAAACGCTAGAAATTCCCACTCTTTTTTCTTTGGAGAAAGAAAAAAAAGCCAAAGCGCTACTACTGAAAAGTATTTCAAACTGGCGATCGACAACCAAGATATTACAGCCCGTGAAATCAAACCTAAGAACAGGCGAATCATGGTAAAATTCAAGAAACCGCCTATTGTTTTGGCTTCTGTTATATGGTGAAATTTCTTTTCCAGCAGTGGGAACAGTGAGATTCAGTGTTTTTACTCGACGGCAGATTTACCGGAAATTAGGGTTTGTTCTTGAACAAAGACGACGGAGTTTGGGGCTGAGCAACTTGATTTTCTGTTAATATATTTCAATGTATTTTCAACGTATCATGCTGTATTTTCATGTATTTCATTGTATTCATTGTCTTTTTTTTTCATTGTAATTTAATATATCTCGATGTATTCCATGTATTTCATTATATTCACTGTCTTTTTTTCATTGTATTTCAATGTATCCCGTTGTATTCTATGTATTTCATTGTATTCGCCGTCTCGCTATATGCCATGAATGTATTCATATGTTTTTTAAATTAATATAATTTATGTATTTCATTGTTTTTTTTGGAACAAATAATAAAATCACATTCAACGCCCGACTCTTTTTATTTTTATTTTTGGCATT